CAGAAGCAGCAAGGAGCTGCCAGCCAGCTGGCCTTCCCGATGTGGCACGTGGGTCCCTCACACTGACTGGTGGACATACAGGGTTTCTGGCCGAGGCATCTCACACTGACCTCAGTGCCCAGGAAAATTTGCAACAAGAAAATCCTTGTCAAACAAATTGAATTAAAATGAGGTACCGTCGTCTTCTCTGGCTTCTCTGGCGGCTTTCTGCTTTCTTCTCCTCAGCCGTCTGCCTCCTCCTGAGGGGTCTGATGTCCACGGAGCCCAGGTCCCTGTAGCCAAGTCACACTTCTCTGCGTGTCTGTGCATTGTACTCTGTGGAAGAGACGACCCGGGACACCATGAGTGACAGCTCCGGGACGCGCAGTACAGACAGGCAGCAGAACCGCACACCTGCTGGGGGCCAGCGCAGCAGCCACAGCCTTCCTTGCCGCTGTATTTAGGTCTAGCTGAAAGCTAGCCTGTTCTGTTTTGAACAAGAAGAACCAGTGAAATTATATTTATTTTTTTAGAATGCCTCTATTCTCTGATGTGAAAACTGATTTTAGGGGCTGGGGAAATGGCTCAATAGAATAAGCGCTTGCCTGGCAAGCACAAAGCCCTGAGTTCAAAACCCTGGTTCCACAAAAAAAAAAAAAAAAAAAAAAAAAAAAAAAGAAAGAAAGAAAGAAAGAAAGAAAGAAAACAAACTGATTTTAAACTGGAAACTTGCGGTTTCCATCAATATTACAGAACCTAAAAAGCTGTCCACATCAGACTGTTCTTTGAGCTCCTCTCTCAACTGATGACCCCACGCAGGTGGCTGCTTCAGAGTTAAGTCACTGCAGATCTCCTCGTCAAGTCTGTTAGTGACATCTTATTAATGAAAACATATGATAACTTAAAATCAGCTAGAGAATTTTCACTCCTTGTAAAGTTCAGGCGGGAAAGTGGAAGCCTGGCTGTGTGTGTCTGAATCCACTGACTGTGCCCAGCGCCCCGCCGAGCTGCACTCTGCCTTTAGCTGTGCTTTGCAGCCCTGTCCTGGTTGCTGGGAGAACAGCAGGGCTGGCGGGGGCAGGGCTTCCTGGTCACTTAAACTCCCATCTTGGCTATGGCATTAGCAAACTGGCCAGAGGGCCCAGTCGGCCTTTCTGCCTCCTTGGAGCAAAGCCAGCCGGTTTGTCTATGGCTGTTCTGGTGGACCAGGGTGAACGGAAGGCGTGGCCGGAGCTGAGTGTTCTAAGCCACCATCACTGTGTACTCTTAGGCTCTTTGTGCAAAGTTTGCCAACCCCTGGTCTGCACAACTGTGGGAGCCAGGTGCTCTGGAGAGCCAGTGCCTGCTTTGAGCATGCGCAGAAAGCAATGGCTCCCCCTCCAGGGAAGCCCGCAGTCAGCCGAGCATGACCTGCCAGTGGGACGGTGCTGATGTC